CCAGAGACAGAGCGGGGAGCAGAACAGGCAGATCGATGAAGTACACTGCTGAGGGGAGCAGTGGGTGGGCCAGGAGAGGTCTGCCGTGCCATGTGGTCACCTCTGGGGCAGGGGATTGAACTCATGAGGAAGTGGCTTTAGCTTCTTAGTGCAGTGCTTTAACCTGCTGTACCACCAGGGAACCAGGGAGGGCCTCTGTTTACTTTTTTAAGGCCTTGTGGGAATTGTGGCAGGCCTCCCTGGCGGCGCAAGGGGTTAAGTCTCAGCACTATGAAAATATTCGCAGCCACTGCAGGTCCAGTTTGATCCCCTTTAAGGAGTTGACCCACATGGAACAGCAGACCTCTCCTGTCTCACCGGCTGCTCCCCTCAGCAGTGTATTTCAGTAGATCTGCCTGTTCTGCCCCCATTCTGTCTCTGGTGAATCCTTTTACTCCCCCTCCCAGCACCACTGGCCTGTACTCTAGCTCTTGTATGCATAAACAAATAAATCTCTCTATCTTTTCTCTCTCTTTTTTTTAAATGAACCTGTGGTGGTTCAGGGCTAAACTAGTTCAAACTGGCTTCAAGTGACATAGTAGAAGAAACAGATAGCATTATAAATGATGCTGATTTTTCATGATAAATGATGAATTCTGGGAGATCAATGTTATATAAATGAAAAAAAAAATGCCTCCTGTATATTTGTCCCTATTGTTTATATATTTTTTCATAGCAGGTGGAGACTCTATTAACTCAAAAGCCCCTGACACCAAAGTCCAGTGTTCACATCCATTTCTCAGTGTAGCCCACAGAAATAGATTTCCAGCCAATGATAGCCAGTTTGTTTTGTATATTCCCATAAAACTGCAACCAATAACTGCCCACTGTAAGTAAGTTGCTGTGGCAAAAAGGATCTCAAGAGGATGCTCTTGCCGTCAGAGCTCTCAGACCTGGAGTCTCCCTAGTCTGCTGCAGAGTGACACCACTTAGACACTGAAATCCCTGCTAGAATTCTCTCCCTAGGTGATATCTTGCCTTCTACTCCTTCCTCATGGTCGCCCTACTTGCAAATGTTCCAAGATGTCACCAGATAAAGCTGGTGTGTGCATTGCTAACTTAGGGCATGTCTTTCCCCTATATCAGCACCAAATTCTTTAGAATCTCTAAAACATCTTTAAGGTGCAAGATGTGAAAAAAGCCCCAACAACCCTAAATTTTATATCTAGAAAGATATCATTTAAGAATGAGGGTGAAATGAAGATGTTTTCAGAATTTCTTGCTAGAAGCATAACCACACTACAAGAAATGTTCATGTAAGTGCTTTATATTGAAAATAAATAATATGAGATGGATTTACAGGGAGGAATGAAGGGTAACAAAGACAGTAAACATGTGGTTATATATAAAAATCTTTTTTTCTTTTCATGTCTCTTAAAGATAATGGCTTGTCAGAGTTAAACATCATAATACTTAGTGGATACTGGATCTATAATAAAATACAAGGCAAAGCTGTACAAGAGCACAGACTGGCAAATCAATGAGATTATACAAACAAGCAACTCAATTGTCAATATTCAAGGTAAAGGTGCATTCAGATAAGTTAACTATAAAATCATGAACTAAACCAACTACATAGTGAACCTAGAATGCCACATACCAAAACAATAACAGGATCATGTAAAGGTCCATCGGTGTGAAGAGTTTCAATATCATCCTCGATGTTATAATCCCATTCCACACCAAGATCTATGAAGGTTCGAGACTTAGCTTCCTCTCCTTTGCCATTTAAAATATAATGGCCTGTAGCCTGGTTCTTAATAGCTAAAGGGAGGAAAACGAGTAACTGGCACACATTTCACTTTATCACATTACAGTTTTGAGGATCCTTAAGAAATCTACCCCTTTCCATAACTTAAAGACTAAGTTCATGAGCATCAAAGGAACAGTATAATTTCTGACATCACTACTATTCCCTTCACTGGGCATTCAAAATCTTCAAAAAGCATGTGTAACTTGTCAAAAACAGGCTAAAATGATTAATAGGAGAAGAAAATTGGCAAATATTTCCATTCAAAAACACTGTCATCAGAGATTAAGTTTCTAACTCACTCACTCTATACATTTCCTTAGAAAGTTGAGAATATTCCAAAAATAGATGCTTCTATAATAGTTGACTACTGTTTATTCAACAGCAACAGCTATGATTACAAAATTCAAGGTCATATCACCTACTTAGTATGGCTAGGGAAAGCTGGTTTCTGATGATAGATCTCTTAATATATTATAGATCCATTATAACTATAAAATGTTTTTTAAAGTTTTAAGTGTCATTAAGCATATAAGTTAGAAGACAAAATTTTATGTTATTAACATAATAAAAATGTGTAGCAAACATGCAATTTAAGTTAAATAACACTTGTTTCTTTGAGAATTTTAAACTGGTCTAAGGTAATGATATGAGATCAAGGATGAAAAATGAGAGATATTAATTACTGGAGAAAGAAATGTAGTCAGTGCTAAACTATTATGGAATCTAGTAGTGAATATAATTTAAATAATAAAAAAACATAACTCTGAAACATCATAAAACAATTCACTAAAGTGAAACATTAAAAAAGCAATTTATTATAAATTGTCATGAATTTGAAAGATAATACCTTAGTTTCAGAAAACTTAGTACTTTACTACATCAAGGAAAAAATGAAGGTTATGTGTATATACATATACATGAAATATAAGACCCTTTCAAGTTGTATTTCTATATGATCCTCTCAAAAAGGAGAAAAAGAATTTTCTAGAAATTATAAACAGCCATGCAAGTATATCTGCATGTGCCAGTCAGAAAGCTGACACATAGCAGATACAAGAAAAAATTTATTAGACTAGTGAAAAATGTATTAGACTGTGGTTGTTCCTCAGTCAAAGAAATTAAAATGCACTAAAAATAAGGAGAAGCATACAGTACTGCATAAAAGGAAATATCAGAACTAATTTGTCAACATAAAACTGGCAAATATTTCTGATATTATACCTTAACTTAGTGCATTTAGTAACTTATTTATTTTCCCAATCCCTAACATACAGAGTAATGCACAACAAATGCAAACTTGTCAAATATTTTCTTACACTTTTAATAGTGAACTCAATGCAGATTTTACCAAAAATTAAAGCTCTACTTTTAGATAGTCCTTGTTTTAAAGAGAGAAAAGTTGGGAGAAATGATCAGCAAAAACCACATAATAACTCATTTATATACAACTTTGAATTTTGTGTATCTATCTAAACATATATGTGTATAGATATGTACACATCTACATACGTCTACATGTACTTGTGATATAGACATATATATGTATATATGTGTGTGTATATATAATATATATAATATATATATATTTGATTTCTTTGACATATATATATATATATATTATATATGATTTCTTTGACATGTCCAAGCAGAGTCAGCAGACAGAAACACTTACCAAGAATATGAGGAGAAGCCTCGTCTTCTTGGATTAACACATGTCTAGCACCAGGGGGTATATCAAACATCTTAAGGTACCCTTTGCATGTGTAGTAAATATTGGAAGAAGCAAAGAAGAAAACAAAAGCAACAACCATGGTTAGTTGAGCATTATGTTCTTACTGCTTCTGCATGCAGAAGAGGGCACCCATAAACCGAAAGAAGCAGTTTCAGGAACTCACTTCAAAGCACTGTGAGCTCTTGTGGCATGTAGCATGAGAGTAGTGAAACTTTTTATTTAATTATAGGGGAGGAAAAAATTTAATCTGATTTCCAACTTATTAGTCATTTATCTTGTTTACTTAGAGATTGTGTCAACAATTCATGAAAGTACTACATTTTGTCCTTATTTGTGATTTTTTTTTTCTAAACCACCCCTTTAAAGCGGGGCCAATATTTGCTGTACTTAGTTGATGAACTTGAGATGTTTTATCTGTCTATGTGTATTTTAAAAATTCAAAGTGGTAAATGTAGAGAGCAAATCATGAAAAGAATGAAGTCTTTATATTTAAAAGCCTGCTTTATTTTTTAAAATTACAAAAGAGAAAAGTCAGTAGCTTTCATTTTCCTGGAGATCAGTAATTATTAATATGGCAATATTTTAAAATATATTTTGTAGATCTGACCAAACCATATGGAAACAATATGTAAGCTTGTGGTGTGTTGTATTCATATGCACCCCAAATGCAGTCCCCTAATCCAGAAGTAATAAAACCAGTATGCTCGGGGAGCTGTCTGGTCTTTTAAAACAAATACCAATCCTACTACAGTTAGTGTCATATATAAAATCTTTTTCATTATTATCATCTATCTAAAAGTTATCTTAGAATGTGACAGGATACTTTTGAATCATATGCAGTATGAATCATAAATGAATGTTTCTTCGATTAGAAAAAAAGGAAAATACTTTCAAATTTTCCAGAAAAAAAAGGGTATGGGGCAGGATAGTGAAATTATCAGAAAACTATCATAAACAAACAAATAAATGAATGAATAAATGAATAATAAAATATCTCCCAAAACTAAAAGTTCAAAAAAAAAATCAGCTAGACTTCAGAGAAACAAAGCCAAAAAGAAGAGTGAACAGGCCCCGAGGATCCCTTTGGGTCTCATTTGGGCTATCTGAGGGGGTATATTTGTTTTTCTCTTCACTTTTTTTCTTTTCTAAATTGTTTAATTCATGTAGATCTATCTATCTATCTCCTAATTATAAATCAGTAATAAGGCAAATAGAGAAATCAAGATCTTGTATCTTAGTTCCATCAAAAATTAATGAATATAGGAACATTATGCAACTGATACTCTACATTATAAAACATCCAATTCATTTGCTACAGGATGAATACAGACAGAAATTCAGTTATGTACACATCGTTGCTGCTGATAGCGTAAAACACAGTTTGTTATCATTTGCATATGGGCAGTTAATATCTACCACTAGGTCGACTTGCTCAACATTTTCACAACCTTTCTTAGCGTCTTCATGATATGGAGTGGTTGTTTTGGGATCAGAATTTGGGGCACCTGAGTCTGGGTCAAGTGCAATCCATGAAATAAACATGTTTGCCTGAGTGTACATGGCTGGAAATAACATGCTTAAGATGCAAGTACAGTGAAACAGCTTGATGCCATTTATGGATGCCCGTCTTTCTGCAGCTTGTTGCTACTTACCCAACACATTTTTAGCTTCCCTTGTTTCAGCAAGAGAAATATTACGAGCTCCTTTGGGTAAAGTGAAGGCGCCTCTTGTCTTCCCTTAAATAGAATGTCTTTAATTAGTGCATGTTTCATGTTTATCACAGTCTTGCTGTTTCATTGACTATACTATAGGCTATATATTTTATTAGGCAAAATGTAAACATCATTCTGTAATTTTATATGTTGAACTCAAAAATAAAGTGATAGCCAATAAAGTCTTAATAGTCAATGAAAGTAAGACTAAGCATGAATGAGAAATGATATAGGTGATTTGAAGTTGAATACTTGCAGATTTCATTTTCCAGCAACTTGAATTCTTTATGGCACCTCTTGCTTAAATGTTTCCCTGTTGGAAAAGGTTAATTAGTCTATTGAATGACTATCATGACAATATTAGTGCAAAGAAATGAGTGTTAAATTGTCTTTGAACAGTTTGAAGTGTATGATAGAGGAAAGTGTTCTAACCTTGATTTGCAGGTTTAGCATAATTTTTGAGATATCTGAAAAAAATTATCACTATTTTATATTACATATAATACAGAATGGGTAATTATGACAAAAACCTTTTTTTTTTTTTTAACATTAACTCACTCTGGAAATAAAACAAAATGAATTACTTTATACTTAAAACTTATAATATACAACTAATAAAGCCAGCACAGTAAATTAATTCACAGTAAGATGTAGAAAATTACACTTCACTCTTCTAGAATCATAATATAAATATAATTCAGTTTGTTTTATTAAAATAAAAGATCAGTCAAAAGTGGCAATATTTTAAAAAATAATTTTCAAAGTAAAAACAGTGAACCATTACACAGGTACAGCAAAAATATCAGAGTGGGAAATGCCTACAAAAAGCATACAGCTATACCCTGCCCTGAATAGATCGAAGAACAAAACGAATACATGTGGAATTAACTGGAGTTGGATAGCTGGGAAATAATGGGAGTAAACAGAACTAAGAGACTCAATTCATTTGGATAAAGATGAACGTTTTTATCCTTTATTTCCTTCTAGAAAGGAAAAATTACTGCCATGACAATGTACCCAAGTTGATCAAATCGTTCTTTGTTTTTGTTTTGTTTCATATCATTTCTATCATAAAAAGACACTATCAGGATGGTGTTTATTTTTAAGTACTATATTCCCATATATTTTTGCCCAACAAATGCTTATTAATATTTGAATATTTATTACAAACAATTATTTAGCAGTAAATGCTTGTATCTAAATCCTTTATGGAAATTCAAATGAATAATTATGAAGCTGCTAGTAATGTTCCGTATTATAGGCTACTTTTTTGTTCTACTTATTAAACTTTTTTTTGTCCTACTTATTGAACTAACAAGCACAGAAGTTCACATATGAGCAATGATACCTCAGGTTAATTTTTTATGGTGTCTCAATTTTAATATAAAATATCAAAGGCTATGTAAAACATAGCCCTTGTTTTATAGACTAATAAATAGAAAAAACTTGTTCACCTAAAATAAAAGATGGAAAACTAATCAAATATTTTAAGAGTTGTACTTTCAGTTTGGTGATTTTTTTTAACTTCCAATCTACTTATATGCAACAGAAAATTCAAAATAAGCATTCATTCTAACTATTAGGTCTAATGAACTTGATTAAAAACACAAGATAAAACCAACCAACTGAAGCAAACTACTATAATGACAATGGTTTAATTTGCTCTGTATATAAATTTAATAGACAGTTTCCCATCATGGATGTGATGGTATATGAATTGTCAAGCATGCTTATTTTGAGTAATTTTTAGAAGGTAATCTGAATAAAAATAAATCAGCAACTAATCATCGTATGTTTATAGAGAAAATTCTGTATTCCTAAAAGGTATCTCAAAAATACAAATGAGAGAGAAGTGGACTAATTCATGAGAAACTTTGTCTTACCAAGTTTCCTTGGTGTCCTGGTGAATGTCCCCTTTACAGTCCGACAATGGGAATTATCACCTCCACAGACTCCACACTTGTCTTCAACCTTGTTAGAACCGATTTCTTTATCACAGCCCACTTTCTGAGGAGAGAAGATTTAGCTGTGGCTAGTTTTATGTACCAAGTAGGGGTTAGCAGAATGAAAGCTAATGAACGTTCTGTCTGATTGTGAGCCCACCTTAGGGCTGTATCAAATTTGTACTCTAATTTTGAATACCACCATCTTTTAAAGAATTATTATAAAATCAAACAACCTGTACTCAAGGTTGAATTGTATTCTGGGTAATCCCCCCACACTCCCCCATCTAATGGACCCCATGACACAAAAGTCATCATCATCAAACACTGCTTACATACAGAAGCTGTAGCTGATGCAGATGAAAAATAATATCTACTTACTCCTTTTACTCATATTTTTAAAGATGAATAATAAAAGAATGAGTCATATATTAGTACAAGCTTTACCAGTTGATTGTGGATGTGAAATAAAACATCTCAGAGACGGTGGAAATTTTCACAGGGCCTTGAAGGAATAGTGTGGAAATATTTCAAAGAGACTGAGGGATTAAATAAAGTCTTGGACGTTGCAGGAACTGGGTTTAGGGACAATATTTAAACAAATGGAAAGTTGGTGTTTTATGACAGGGGAAGATTTGTAAAGTACAGGTCATGGAAAACCTGGAATATTAGGAAGAGTTTACGTTTTTACATTAATTTAATAGGGTACTACTAAAATTTCACTGAACTGGGGCAAGTCTGAATGTAAATCAGTGTGAGTAGTGGTACTCCACACAGCTCTACACTCTTATGTTTGGGATGTAAATGGGTAGAGTCACTAGTGACAGCACATAGATCTAATGCATTAGATACTGTGGGAGGTGAAAAATGAACACAAAGCAGATCCCATTTCAGGGAAATGTTGGTTTAGCTATGAAGCATCTGTATACTTGATATTCATTAATATACTTGATATTCATTAATATAAAAGTGAATTGTGCTGAAGTGAAAAAGAAACAGGAAAAAATAATGTATTTAGTTAGTAAAGATAATTCATATCAATTTAACTTGTGAATATAAATAAACTGCACTTTCAACAAAGATGAAATGGGGTAAAATCAGTTTTTGTCTTTACTAATTTTCAAGTGAAAAACCAGTTAAGGGAGCAAGAGAAAGCAGCTTCCATTGCCTTTTAAACAAAAGATAAAATATATTGACTTTTTTAAAAAAGACTTTTAATAGCAGATGGCTAGACTCTTCTTCTAATGTGCTTTTACAAATAAGCAAGTGCTAATATTATCTTTGAAAACAGGCAGATGAAAAAGATGAAACTTGCAAGTTGACCCTAGATCTGAAGCACATAGTAAGAGAGGAGAAGGGTCAAATGGCAGGGAAGAGCACAAGGGACTGTGCTGATGGCTCACAGGTGACGGTGGTGGGAAAACCATGAGGGGAAATAACATACTGTCCAAGATGAATGATGTAAGCAAATAAATAAAAATAAGAGAACTTATGTAGAAGAATGACAGTGAACGTAGAATTACATGACTCTACAGAAATACTTTTTGGGGACCAGCGGAACTCACCACACACTCTCCTCGCACACATATGCTGTAAGGGTCTTTGTACGAGCAGCGCGTTCCATCATGCACCAGCTGCTTCATGTAAGCGACGTCGCCACTCTCTTTGGATTGACAGTAAAGGTGGCATCTTTTCTTGGCTGTATAAGATGAAGGACTTGATCAGTTATATAAAATGGCAGATTTGAACAGCACTATTTACTTGTAAAATAGAAGTCAATGAAATAAAGAGTGGGAGAGCATTATATTGGACATATTTGTTTTAATTAGGTGACTGATTTGACAACTGGGACTCTGAGAAAAGGGACTATGAATAATTATACAGGGACAATAGGTGTAAGCCCCATTGTCAGGTCAGCCAGGTTGTATGGTAAGTCTAGACTTGACCGCAGATTTCCAATAATTCATAAATCAATTTAGTTTTTGATCCTTAGAGAGCTGTAAGAGTTTCTCCTTCATCTAACTCAATGAGCTACTATAGTTTTTTGACACTTTTAGGATCTCATTAGTTAAATTTAACATAAGTTATAGGATTCGTTTCACCAAAATAAAACAAAATAATGTGTTTCTTCTTAATACATTGTAACTTTAAATTCCTACATATATGCATTTCCCCTTAAAACAGCTTTTAAAGTAAACCCAACAGTATATTGTATCACATGATAGTCATGTAATTATTTTATTCACAAAGAAAATCTTTTCAAACAAAAAACTATTGGAATACACCTCTTTTTGAACATATTTAAATGAAAATTCAGGAGTAGGAAGTGGACACTAAAAGAATTTCAAAATGTATTTTCATAACTATGGTACTGTATAAAAGTAAAAGTTTGTGAAATGCCTTTTGTTATTAAATAAATAATGGTCTTTTTCTTATGCCTGACTCAGCTGTAAAAGAACTCTGCTATTCTGTAGTTATTCAGAAAGGGAAGCTCACATTATTCCAAGTGCTTTTCCTAGTAGAGGGTCTTTAGCTGCAGGAGGAAACTCAATGACTCGCTCAGGCATCAGCACTGGTGATGTTGGGGGGGTGGGGCGGCGGGGATTGCCAACAATATTCCATAATTCCCACATCTCTGGGAAAAGCAGTATGTTGCCTTTATCTTGGAAACTCAGGAGGACTTGCCCTCCTCAACCCCAAGTTTTCTAAGTTACCAAGTAGGGATCAGGAGTCCAGAGGGTTGGTGTTGACAAAACTTAAACCCTGCATAACCGTCCACATGGCAGGAAAGAGTGGGTCTACTCACACTCAGGATGTTCATATGGCAACCAGTGGTGTTTGGTGCTCTGGTATTCAAAGTGGGAGTTACGCTGTTGGCACTGCTGGGCTCTGAAGTCCTCAAAGTGCTTTTGGCATTCTTCTGTGTTACAAAGCTGGTACTCAAAATTAACACCAGGACAATCCTGACCACCATTGATGGGCCTAAAGAAATGACAACATTGAAAAAGGCCTTTTGGCTCTCTCCCAGCAGCTGAAGCCTGCAGACAGTGCTGCAGGGCAGAAAGCCAGCGCTTCTGAGCTGCCAGAACAAAGTGAATGAACTCATACTTGCAAATTTCAATCCCTTTCTAAAAGCACTATCCTCTCCCTGATGGGTGAAGGGACAGGAGAAGGGAGGTCTAAGTTCCATTTAAATCAGCTTTCCAGCAGTGAATTTTTTAAATGCATGGAGAAAGTCTCTGAAGAAATAAAAAAATATATATGTGATAGCAGAGAAATGACATTTTCTATCACATACAAAACATATAGATGCAACTCAGAGAAACTCTGATCTCTGACTAGCTTTCTTTATAAGTAAAATGCAACAATAATCCTATCTTCTTTAGAGTAACACTGAGGGATAAATGAGTTAACATTTCAAATCTTAGAAAAGAGCACTAATGGGACTTATTACTGTAATTGTTACTATTTTTGTTACTTTCTTTTAAAAAAAGTATTTATTTATGCATACAGAATTGGGGTACAGGCCAGAGGTACAGGGGCGGTCAGAAGATTCATGAGACAGTGTCGGCTGCGGCTCGCTTGCAGTGCCGTGCTTTAACCCGTTGTGCCCCCAGGGAGGGATTGTTTTTGTACTTCTAATACAACCACCATCTTTTCTTATAGAGATAGGTATGTGACACTCAATCTTCTTGGAAAAATTATGTTCAGTCACCTTGCTGCCACAGACAGAGAGAAAGGTGTGCTCACATGTGAAAACTCAAACGAGAATAGCTTAAGTTTTAATATTACTTTTGGGGTTTTTTCCTTTAGAAAAAGTTTTTGTGTTCAGTTTTTTGAACACACGATCAGGATTCAATAATTTTAATCTGGGTGAAGGAATGGATAACGTCTCCTGCCCTTCTTTCACCTTTCTCTGTTGCCCTGCTCTGAACTCAGTGTGCCCTGGGCTGTTGCTGCTCCCTCTGGGGCCTGACAACGGGTGCCCAGGCTCGAAGACCAAGTGATCTCCCTTTCTGCTCAGCTTCTGGCAGCCCTCAAGAGCAATTTCTGCAAAAATATCCTAACAGGAGCCTCTCACCTTCATCACCGCCTACTCTTCATAAGATTGAAAAATGGAGATTCCCACAAAATACACACTTAAGCCCTCAGTTTTCATGTTCTGTTACTTTATAGGCACTTTAGGAAACACAATATTAATGACATCATATTGAAGCATTTTTGGTTTGTCCAAGAAGAGCTAGAATCACAGGAGTTCTACTCACATTGGATTATTGCACTGGCGTGTTCTGAAACGAACACCAGTTCCGCAAGTCCGGGAACAGGAGCCAAACTTGGTCCATGATCCCCAGCTGCCATCTTGTTTTTGCTGATTGGCGTTCTTCCACATGCAGTGGCCCTTATAGCACCACTTAGGAGGATGACAGAAGACAAGGATGATAATCACGCATAAGCTAAAACTGAAGTTGTTACACAAGAGCCACCAATCGAAGGCAGTCAGTTCCCTTTTCTTTCCAGGTGAAATGCGTTTAACAGTAGATGGCTGGCAGTATTTCATATCATCCAGAAGCAGGAACAGCCTTATAAGAAGGGTCATTTCGACTTGCATTTTTAAGTATACAACTTTACATATAAAATTAAAATGAGTGCTACATTCACTCACACAAGTTTTTCAATGACCAGTGAGTATCAACTGTCATAATCGATCAGAATTATCTGAACACCCAGTGGCAATGCAGTTGCAGTTCTAACCTTGGTCCCTCGTTATCCATAGTGACAAGATTTTTCAAGGACAATATACTTCTCTGTAAAATAATCACATGACAGTATATGCCTGAACTTAGAAAACTGTGTAACAGAGCCAAAAAATATCTAAGTTTCAAAAACCTTTTACATACTTAAAAAAATTGTCATTAACAATGATTCTGAGAGATCAGTAGATCAGATATTTTATCTTTACCTTTTAGTTGAGGAGAATTAGGAAGTGGAAAGGCTCATGAATCATACCAGACCATGTGACCAGGGCATAATCAAATAAGGACTGCTTAATACCCTGATATCATAGAGACATTTAGCTTACAGTGTGCAGCACACAAGGTGCTCAATAGATGTTAATTGTTTTCCCTTTCAGCACTTCAGTTTGTTCTTTTTTTTTTTTAATTTATAACAGTTTACCTTTACATCATTTTGTGCCTCTCCCCATCTCAGTTATAATCCCAGTGGGCTTCCCATCACCAAATCATCTGTATGCCATGACCAGAGTCCCATGCACTTCCCTCCTCCTCCATTCTCCACTCTACCCCCATAAAATGTCCCTGGTATATAGTTGTTCATTGTTTTTGTTCCCCCCCGCCCTGGTCCTTTATACTCCTGCTATAAATAAAACCATCTGGTATTTTTCTTTTTCTTTCTGGCTTATTTCACTTTCCAGCTCCATCCATGTTGCTGCAAAAGGCATGAATTTATCTGTTTTGATTGCTGAGTAATATTCCATTGTGTATATGTACCACATCTTTTTAATCCAGTCATCTACTTTGGGCATTTGGGTTGATTCCATGTCTTTCCTATTGTAAATAACAGCTTGTTCTTTGTTTTTTTTTTAATACAACAGAGAATTAAAGTGTTTTTAAAACTCAACTTTGGTAAATCTGAACATAACAAATATATTTATGGAAGCTGAATGTTCAAGTTGATATGATAGGTTTTTCATAAAGCAAACACGAATCAATTTGTTATTGCTCTTTTTTTAGCCAAAGTTTATAACAGTGAAATTTCCAAATCAATACACTGTGTGCAACAGTTTAGCACAGTGTCTAACAAAGCTTAAACATAAATAACAGGCAGATTTTATTATTATTATGCATTTATAATTTGCATAGCAAATACAATTTACACATATTTCAAATAGAGCTCTAAATTAGAGAACTAAAAACTATATAAATCTTTCTTGCCAGTTTTTGCTTCTGTCTACAATATCTTATTTCCAAGCTAGTCAAGGCTCTTCATCTTGAGTTCTTAACGTGCCTTTGTTTTGGTTTTGTGATCTTTCTCCTATGAGTAGCGTAGCTTGGCACTTGGCCAGCTTCTGAGCATTCAATCCTGACTACGCTACACAACTCAAGATTTAAAACGTCTGGGCATCGTTCCCCAAGGAGCATAGCCAAATCTTCTGTATAAATTCATGTGTCTATTTCTGGATGACTTTCACAAGGGGTGGGATGCCAGCAAGTAAATCAAGTTGCACTAGCAGGAGCTCAGCTATTCTGATGAGCTGCTGCTTCCCATCCATCTGCAGTGAGGCCACGTGGTCCTAAAAATGTCAGGTCCTAAATTCTGGGATGTGTAAATGCTACCTGATTTACAGAAGGTCTTTGCAGATGCAATTAAATGAAGGACTTTGAGATGGGAGGATTATTGTGGATTATACAGGTGAGCCCTAAATGCCCTCACAGGTGCCTGATCAGAGCAGGGCACAGGGAGATTTATACACAAAGAAGAGAAGGGCTAGTGAGGCCACGGAGCAGCACCTGTAGCAGCACAGCCACAAGTCAAGGTGTGTGAGCTGCCTCCTGAAGTTGAAGGAGATAAGGAACCAGAGTCTCTGTTACGGGCTCTGGAGGAGTAAAGTTCTCCCCACAAATCGTTTTTGGACCTCTAGCTATCAAAACTGCAACAGAACAAATTCGCATGATTTTAAGTCACCAAGTTTGTGGTAATTTATTATAGCAGAGATAATGCATGATATATCAAAACCTCATATACTGTGATTTTTATTAAAACAACACAGCTCTAGTGAAAAATTTCCAGACTTTTAAAGATAGTTATTATATAACACAGCTTAAATCTTCATTGTATAAGTGGATATACTCACTTTTCCAGCAGCACATTCAGTTCCATCCAGTGGGGGACCCTTTTTAGTCTTACAAAAGTAGGGATTATCAGGATGACTACACCACAGTTGTTTGCATGGGTCAAAGGTTCGGAACTAGAAGAAAGAGAGTCAAAATCTCAATGAAGTACAGATGACATGACTGCACCAAAAATATCTTGTATCGTTTCCTCATGCCATTTTTACTGAATTTTTAAATGTAAGTTGAAAGATGTGGCATGTCCGCAAAAAAAAACACTTCCTAAGAATCCCAAGTAGAGAATGCTTCCATTCTGTTTCCTTAAAATAACAAAGATAAGCAATGATTTGTCTGAGATTCTTTGGGTGACTTTAATATTTCTGCTGTCATTTCTACTTTATGATTTTCAAGTAAATGATACTGGACTTTTAAAAAGAGTATTGTGAGCATTTGAAATCTGAAAAGTTTTACATGTTGAATTAGTCACATATACAAAATAAAAATGTCCATGATAATGATTAAAAATAGAAAATATTTGCTATATAAATACTGTATGTAAGATAGTGTATTCCAGGTATACCAAAAATATCATAATACTTGCAAATAGGTTGTAAAGTACTTCACATATATCTAATCCTATAACAAGATATCACAGAAATATGGCCAATTCTGAAATATGAGTGCGGAGGTAAGGCTATCGTTATGGTTACAGATAAGGCACTAACAGAATAAGACTGGGGTTTTCATGTCTGATTTTCTTTTTTTACCTTTTTTTTAAGACATCACCTGATAATATCCACAAGCACACACACATGCCTGTTTATATTCTTTACTTGTCTTCTCTCTTTCAAGCTCTAAACATCATAGCACTCTTTAGATAAAATGTTTTTAGTACTGAATACTAGCTCATCTGTATTCTTTAAAAAGTACTCACTTCAGACCTGGAATTTTGCTCTAATTCCTATAACTTCATCAGAAGTACTTTTTCACACTATCATGTCAAAGCCTTAGAATTCTCAGGTCTAAAATATTAATGCAGGTGATAAGAATTCGACAATATGTGGCCAATACACAGGGTAAATGACCATAGATATCTGCTTATGGAAGATTTCAAACAGCAAATCAATTTATCAGTACCATGAAATATTTATTTTCTTTGCTCTAACACTCCAATATATAAAATGTCCTTTCTTATAAACTACTAAAAATTAACATGGAACTCTAATCAAAGATAGCTCTAATCTGGACAGTGACACAGAAGACTGGTTTTAAATGGACTCCATTAACACTTACTATGTACTAAATTTGTATTGTATTGTATTGTACTAAATTTGTTATGTAATCAGTTTTAATTATGAGATAACCATTATCATTATCCACATTTCACACATGCAAACACTAAGCCAGAGATATTAAATAACATGCTCAAAGTCATAAGTCTAGAAGAGTTAGATCCAGACCCCTGATGACCCACCCAGTGCCGGAGGTGGCTCATCTGATTGTCATATTATATTGTGTGATTCTCAAATGAGAATATGCAGCAAAACTCTTCCCTATGTTACAGTCACATAGAGTCCTGCCAACAAGCTAATGAGAAAACCACTGATTGAAGGTTTAAAATTTATCTCTGAAGGTTACAAAAATCAAGAGGTTAATATCCAGTTCCCCTATTAACAGACATGTTGTTTCATCTCTGTAAGTGTTGACTTTTTCATCTATATAATGAAAGTATACTGACTGTCTTCTGGCCTGCCTCAAGAAGTAAACAAGATAGTATATTTAAAGCATTCAAAATAAGTATGTAGTGACTTGAACACCAAATCATTGGTAGATATTCTTAGCCTTGCACCAATGAGTCTGTAAAGCTCACCAAACAGTAGCTATGCTAAAATATTTCAAAATGCAAAAAATCTAAATTGATTGTAAGTAACATACCGCAGTACACATTTTATAACCAACCCCAAAGTCAAAACGACATTGTTCATCCATAGAGTAATTGATTCCAGGAAGTTCTGGGAGTTTGGGCCAATCGTGTTCAAAAGGGTCATCGAGGAGACAGTCATAGGAACTGTAGGAAGGAAAATATTGCATACAGTTAAATGCTCATTTTGTTTCAGCATGTCCTAATGGAAATGTGTTCTTAGGTTACATATTCTGAATACCCACAGCTTATAGAGCAAAGTTACAAGAGCATACCATTTAAGATTGTGGGTTTCAGTTCCATTTAGAAAAAGAACTTTCATAATTATTCATCCCAGGAAAATAAGCCAATTGTGACTGAAAGATGTAGTGAAACTGCACTATTCTTACTGCTGTCCTAGAGGATTCCCCTCGTAGTAAACTACGGCAGGTGCTGACTCAGGCTGTAGAAATGACAGACACGATCAGCCTCTTTTCATTCTCAACTCAAGTCTGACCATTATTCAAAGATTTCAAAAAGAACTTACTGAAAGGAAATCACAGTGAAAAATCCCCTTAAATGATAGCCTGATGGCTTAAAATACTGTGGGTGCATTATGGAATAGTGTCAGATACACGAGAAAATATTTATTGTAAACAACAGTTTTCACTGGGAGTTTTATTATGATCAAAGTTCTCAGGGTCAGTTTTCTGCCTGTATTTTTGTGTTCTAACAGAAAGATGACATGGCATGCAGGAAGGCACATACTGGATGTATCTTTTCAATTCCTGGCCACTGCATCGGGACCAATGGTAACGATGAAACGCTGCTTGCACCAAAGGCGCCATGACACTCCCCATGGCTGTCTCGTCACCACATCTGTTGCCTTGTCCGTCGTGTTCCATTCCCAACCTAGAACAAAGGTGAGAGCTCACTGGGAGGAATCAGGAGGTCACAGCTTCTGCTAGATTTCTGTTTTGAAAATAAGCATAAGGAGTTTGGTATTTTTAAAAGCGACATGGATTTCAAGAAGTCACAGAAACTGTGAGATAAAGAGCAATCTACAGAAACGCCTTTCTTATTCTAGAGCTATGGAAAGCACAGGACTCTTTCTACAAGTCAGTCACTCATTGAGTTTCAGTGCATGACCCCTCACTGTTTTCAGTTCCTCACATTTGGCAAGAATGAGAGTTACAGGCTGGCATGCACTCTGCTCAAAGTGTGAACAATACTGAGAGAAGCAGGGAAGAAAAGACCTTTTCTTGCTTTATAACTGTCAACAGTGACTTACACATGGCCAGTTTCATGGGCTACTACAAAAGCAGATGAAAAACCATCCTCATGATTCAGAGTACAACTTCTCACGGGATGACACATGCCTGTGACTGGAGCATATCCTGTAGAGAATAACAATGACTTTTATTTTCATTTTATGAGAAGACACATTAAAAATTACTACTGAACCTTTGCATAGGAGGAAAGAAGCTTTTCAGGAAACAGAGGCAGTATTATTTTGCTGCTTTCATTGTGCCACATTCTTTTGGGAAAGCCACAGGTAATGGGCTTTTAAAAGATTCATTGGGTCTGTATTTGCTCCTTTCCTAAGGGAGGCAAGCTGCCCGGGGTTACCATTCTGTTCTGCCCACCAACTAAGTCCTTTCCATCTTTTTGCTGTAGTGAATGGTCCTTCATATCAAGGACTGATAGAGAGAGCCAAGAATTCCGTCAATGTTAAAAAGGAAACTGTCCGTCTATTTTTTCCGCACAGTCTACTGACTTTGGAAGAAAGGTCTTTGGCAACAGTCATGGTAGCTCTTTTCTCATTCCAAACAGCTAGTGGGAATCATACTGTACTTTACAGCATCCACTCCATGCCCCCACACAACCATTATGTTAAAGACAGTATAATTTACTATAGCATTTTAGTGACATTTAATTAACATTGTGAATTTCACAGAAGTCACTGGAAGCAGGAGAAACAAAAATATAAGCGTGGCTGATGCATGGTCAAACATGGTAGTGGTGATGTGAACATCTGAACAGACTGATATAGAATTACTTGCAGAAAGTCACACCCTTAGTTTCTCTTCTATAATTAATGGAAATACCTTGCATTCCAGCAGGTCCAAAGTCTTGCCTGGTTAAGAAAATTGCATGATCATGGTGTTCAGAGTGGTTGGGATCAGATTTTTGTTGTTGGCAAGCCCAGCGACACACATTCTCCAAGCTCCTGGAGGGGTTTCCCCTTTCTATGAGGCTGATAGACTATGAAGAACAAGTTGTTAGCATTTTCGCAAAGGCTACCTTTAAAACATTTCTCTGCAGTTAATGTTTGACACTACAGTATTTAAATAATGCATAATAATATCATTGGGGGATTGTTTAGCTATATACTTTCAATTGAGAATTCTAAGTGCCCACGAATATATCTTCACAATGATCATTATTACCATGTAAATAGTAGTGTTGGGAAGCCGTGATGCTGAGATCTGCTGCTGAGGCAGGCAGCAATCATTTGGGGAAGAAGTCTAGTCTGTTTCCTGATTCAGCTTAGATTTTCAGTTTCATAGACGTTATGAAAGAGTTGGGTATGAGATATTTTTCTTCCCAGAGATGTAAAAGTGAAAGATCACTTGTTATCATTTTTGGGAAGTTCAGAATTAATCAATATGGGGAAAATACATTCATCAATGATTTGGAAAAGCTGATCGAATCTTCATTTATAGGAAATAAATGATATAAATCTCATCCTGAAAAGAACTACTCTTTTTAACCACACAGCAAAGAGGAGTGTATTCTCATCTTGCCATTCCTTTAGATGGATGAACATTCTTTACAAAGTTGTTAATATCCCATTATAGTAAGGAGTTAAAAGTTCAGAGGGAAAGGACCCATCTTTCAAGAGCCCAGCATGCTTCCTAGAGAAGTTCTCACAGGATGAGAAACTGAGCTTGGAAGCCATAATTAGTCCCTACTTGGCTGACCAACTCAAGCGTTTCATTACATTTCAGCAAATGTTATTATCATTGTTTACATTCTTAGTAAAATTAGTTTGGTTTGTTATATCTGATCACAAACTTGTCCAAACAAATGATTTAACAACCAAAAGAAGACTGCTAACATCTCCAGCTGGAGCTGACTTATTTCAGTGTTGGTGATACAAAATAGGTCAGTTTATATGATAAACTAAAGATCAATGACACCCTCTCATCAGAAAATATGCGGATTTAAATCATCATGAAATGCAAACCCATGGATTTTTTTCCTGTTTGCAAAGTATGTAATTTGAACAGTATTTCATAACCAGTTTTCACTATGGGAGTGGGGCATATAATTTAAAGATCAAGAAAATTTCCAAATTAGTCCCATCCCCTATATTTTCCTCTTCAGGAAAAAAACACTATTTCATCAGTTTCATTATTTCCACAGACAGAGATAGTTTAGGTCATTTTAAAGCCAGCCAAAATTAGTTACATGAAATGCATATTATATGATTTTAATACAACTTTTTGATTTTGAAAGGATTAAAGATCTCTTAAATGAAAAAATAAATCACTACATAATTCATTTTTAGGTGAAAGAGAGGCATGTAAAATATTGTTTTTAACAAATCAGGAGAGAGCAAGGGTTTTTGATATTTCTTCACTTATATATTGAATAACCTAGAAAGTATCTGATGACACATAGGCACTCAATGATGACACATAGGCACTCAATATAAATGTTATTGAATGAATAAATGCAGCACATATTTAACAATAATGATAGACTAAGGACATTATCTTACATCACAATGATATCCATTTGTTTTCATTCATACTGTCATTACTAAAATTAGGATGACTACCTACAATTCCTTTAAATAGAGGGGAGAAAAGCAAATGGCACTAACACAAAATCATTCATTATCTGCACACACTTAGAGAGCTTCATTCATTGTGGCAGTTTCTCTTCTTTTGTTCAGAGCAACTGCGGTCTACAGAAGACCTATCTACATCACACTTAGCTATCATGCCATCAGTTTAATCCTCTGTTTGCTAACCCAGTCCTTACTGTTCCTAGTTCACATAACTGAAGACGCTTTTACCTTTGCATAACCCAGCATTATCATGCGCACCAGGACCACATTTATATGGACTCCAAGGGACTCATCATGATAAATTTCATTCACCTAGAAACAAAGCAGAAAGCTACTAAAAAGAAAGCTAACACAAAGGACCATCATGAGATGCATAATATTTAAGGGGTCAATCTTGTAATCCTAACTAAGCAAAGAAATCACTGTTTAAGTTTGATTTAAACTGAACTCTAAAATGAGATAATTTACCAACAACTTTGGACTAATTCTTAGATATGTAAGTTACTGATTTTATAAACTCCACAGTACCAGAAGTTTAGTGAATATTCTCAAAAACTATTTTAGTGTTAAAAAAAATTTCTTGTGTGCCATAATTCACACATAACATTCACTAAAGACAACCACACAAGGGTGACTTTAGTGAAGTGTCCACTACCTGAGAGTGGCCTAGTGATGTGAAGAGAATAGACAGCCGGGATTTGCTTCCTAATGCCCATGTCCCTGCTCGTGATGTGACCTCTGACTGGGGAACCATGGGAATGGAGCTGGTGTGCAAGAACTGTGTATATCTGCCAGTCAGTGAATGAACTGCCTTCCCAGCATCCCCACCACTGTCAACAAGGGGGGGGGGCGGGGGCATCTCAGGAAATAGGTATTTAGAAGCCCTGAAGTAGAGGTCCTTTGTCTTTAGATTAATAAGGTGATTATATATTGCATATCATATAAATGTCAAGTCTGGGTATAGCTCTGAAAAGTTGTATCACTGTTTTTTACTTATTTTTAAAGTTCAACATTCATACAAGTGATTTGATTATACCTTAAAATCATAGACATAATGATTTAAACAACCTCTATGATCACAACCCAACATTTATACAGAAGAGGAAGAGGAAGCTGTAGGGATTACCTAACACACAAAAAAAACACTCAGTAAATTACTGACAAACAAGTAACTAAAGCATCATTGTACCTTTTGATTGAACTAATGTAAAATCACTGTGAATAAAGTTTACTTAGTAAGTTGGCAAAAAGCTAGCAGACATGGGGAAGGTGGAGTTATCAGGTTAGATTAGTTGTTCCTGAGGACAGATACTTGATATTCACCACCATAACTAAAAGAGTGACGGGGACCAATTACAATTCACCTTAAGGTCCAGGACACTTGGATGGTAGGCACAGGAAATTTAAAAACTACAGGGGAAGACATTATAAAATCACAGAGAATCTTTGAAAAGATATACAGCTCACAAAAAGTAAAATAATCTAAAAATACAAGAAATTTATGAATTATCACACTGACCAAGAGATCTCAAATAAAACATTTCCAGAATCTGATGAAATTGCACCACACTACTTAAAAATCAAGACCTAAAATACAGACTAAAAGCATACTTACTGAATTTGTAGATGGAACAAAAAAGTGAAGGATGGCTAGTATGGAGGCAAACTACCTCACAGAGTAAGGATGATAAGGTGTAGATTAACAAGACCCAACCTAATAATTGTTCAAGATAAGCTAATGGGGGATCTCCCTGGTGGTGCACCAGGTTAAAGCGCAGTACTATGAAGTTAGGAACAGTCACCCAGCACGAGTTCAATTCCTAGCCAGGGAGGTAACCACATGCGTGGCAGATCTCTCCTGGCCCGCCCACTGCTGTATACTTCATCAGTCAGCCTGTTCTGCTCCTGACTCTGTCTGTGGTGATGCTCTGGCTTGTAGCCCAGTTCTGTATGCATAAATAAATAAATCTTTAAAAGAATAAAATAAAGGAGATACTGACAAACAAATGTATCCAGGGAAGAGCAAAAAGCAAGGAGTGAGGAGCCTTGAAAATGTGTTATATAAAGTTGGATTGGGAGATGTAGGTGAAGAGCTTGACACTGGGAACTGAATCGGCTCAGTGTTCATCTTGGTTCAACTCCTCATTGCTTGGGTGGTCTTCATCTTTCTGACACTTAATCAAATGGACACAATAAAATACTATCTCATAGAGTTGGAAAAGGATTAAAAGACTTAGTACATGCATTTAGATTGTTCGAAAAATTATGAGAGGGAAAAAGGGAATTAAGAACTGAGCGGGATATAGGAAATAGAAAAGAAAACCTATAAAGATGATTTATTAGTCGCTCTTCAGAAAAGAGACTCTATTACTTCTCTACAGCTACAAAAAATAAAACATGAGTTTACACTATCAAAGGGGTAGATTTCAAGTAAATGTAGAGAAAAATCGAATGCTAGGCAGAAAGCTGTGATTTCTTATCACCACTTGGCCATGAGCAGATTCTCTTATCTTATTCCACTCCTCATACTGCCTTATTGCAGACTAATTACCCCATCCTTTCTGTCTTGCCAATCTGGTATGAGCTTCCTAACATAATAGTTCCAACACAAGTGCAAAATTAAAAAAGAATGCCACTAAAAGGTTTATATTCTAAGATATATAGACATAATAAAAGTTGGAGAAATAATAAGTATCACAGTTTGAACTATTCAAAGACTTGGATTCTGATCCCAATTATGCTAGTAGTAAACTGAGTGACCTTAGGTGACCTTAGGTCACTTAACCTGTCTATTTTCTCATTAGTAACTTGTGATCATATTTGTTCTGCCTGCTTCACGAGATAGCCACAAAACCACCCTCAGCCAAATACAAAGCACTTTAGACCCAGGTACCTATCCACGCTAGCGTTTTAGAGGTTTGTGGATGAATCTTGACAACCTACCTGAAAAGAGAACCAAAAACACCTGACCCCATCTTGTTTTCATCGAAAAGGGCTTCAAGACATTTACCCTTGAAATCTGTTTAAACTTAATTAAAATAAAGGTGTTATTTAAATTAGCAAATATGAGAAAAATCAGTTAATATTTTTTCAAAAATATAGTCGAAATAGCGTACAAAAGCTTGTGCCAGCAGGTGGCAGTATGGACATTGCAGACGGTGGTAAAGAGCCGGCTGTGAATACACCTGAATGTCTGCTTTTTATGTATTTACGCAGATCAAATCGCTACCTTAAAATTCAATAAGATTTGTAAAATTTTCTAACTTGAAAACAATCAATAAGTCATTTTTCTTTAAGAAACAAAGACATTAAAGGCAACTTTATTTAGGTTGCTCTGGTGTCATCTTATTAAAACATAGAAAGATATGAACACGCTCATGATCTGGCTTTAAATTAATCACAAATTTAACACTCAATAAATGATAAACATGATAAGAAATACACATATATATTACATGAACCATCTGAATCTGTTAGAATAAATGAAAATAATATTTAAGGAAGCATTTTTACAATTCTTAATGAAAGTAAAAACCGTTTTCCCCAAGTAATAGCAATATCAACAACAAAAAGAAAAGTTAATGTTATATAGCACACTCCAGAGACCAGACGCTCTCCTACATATTTTACCGATATTAACTTAAGGAGTCATTGTAACAACTTCAGAAATATCATGGTCTCTATTGTACAGAAAAAGTAAATGAGACCAAAAAAAGCAAAATACCTTGCTTAAGGTCACACAATACACAGAGAAAAGAATGCACACCTCAGCCTTCTCACGCCACTATTACTTTTGACCATATTCTACCTGGTGAGAGGATTCCCTTCCGCCACTGCACTGGCACCGTGCACAGATCTGTTTTAAAATAATCAATAGTGATTTGCTGCTGCTGAGTTTATCAGAAAATAGTGTGGAAAGTATTCAGAAAGAGAACTTTAAAATTTCATTTCCTTTTCATAATCTTCATTTAAATTTCAAGAAGTGAGGAACTGGACTCCGAAATTACCAAAGATAAGGATTTTGTGATCGTCGATACAAAGATATTCTTTAAAAGTTACCAAGAAAAATAGAGAGAAGCTAGAGCAGGTCATTGCAGAAACTGAAAAAGCAAGATAAGACTACTGCAATTTATAAACAGTGTTTTGAGTTGTAAGGGAAGCGTTAAGCATTAACATCCTAAGAAGTCAGGTAATTGACACCACCTAATGCATATCAAAGTTTGTCTATGCAAAATTGAATAAATTCTCTCTAAGGAGCCAGTCTATTGGAGCATGGGTAGATTTTCTATGAGGTGTTCAGGGTTGAGCCCAGTCTTTATTAAATTAGCTGAAAGAAGGGGTAAACAGAACTCTAATTCAATTTTCAGATGACCTTAAATTGGAAGGGCTTGCCAATGATTTGAGGGGGTTGGGGGGGAAAGGTAAAATCAAATCAAGTATTCCCTTTCCTTGAAAGGAAAATTTCTTCCAGGTTTGTTCCCGGACAGGACAATTTCTCTCAGGACATTTCCCTGGCAGGACAATCTGACCTGCTTTGTCTAACTAGCTGATGAACAGCTTTGTCTGGCTTCAACACAGCAACAATCATTTTTCTTTTAGATGGGTGGATTAGATCTTGAGAGGCAGTGTGGCCGAGTAGTTGAGTCTGGGCTCTGCAGCCAGATTACCTGGGTCTGACCTTAGTTACATGACACTGTTCATGTTACTTAGCTCTCTGCCTCACTTTTCTCATCTGTAAAATGGGATAACTTAGTACTGTCTATATAAGATTGCTGAGAAAGAATATATGAGATTATGTATGTGTACACAAGTTAATATTGTCTGCCCCTTGCAAATATGGGAACAAAAAATTGTTAGCTATCATTAGAATTAGTATTCACCAAAAGAGCGAATAAGTGGTGCAAATGTATATTTTGTTTTTAAAAAAGGACTGCTAGTTTTATTAAGTAATGATAGTGAGATTGGGTAATTTTAGCTGAACCTAAATAATTATGAAGTGGCCTAGGAAGAAATACATTATCCACAACTACTCCACTATCTCTGTAGAGCTAAAAGTTATACACGTTCTGCACTTGATTTTAGCCCCATTGCTATTATATTTCCTTCATTTAGAATAGATGCTATCTCCCAACCTGACAACCTCTTCCCCTACCTCCAATCTCAGACTAATAATAATTATTGATACTTCTTATAAATAGTCTTATCAAATATTTACAGAACAGTTGTTATGTGCCTAATTATTTTAGGAGCAAGGAACGGAATAGTCAATGATTTTGAGTCTCTGTTCTTATCATGAGTATGTTCTAACAAGT